AAGTCAATGACAGTCAAACTTACTAGAGCTGATACACTCTAATATTGACCTTTATTATGAATGCTTCATTTTCATGGTTAATATGTAAGAAAAATTCATCCTTTAGGTACTGACAAATTTAATGCAGATATGTCTGATTCAAATGCTCTCTGTTCTAAGAGAGACTTTTTTGTTTTTTTGCTTTTTGCCTGTGATTTTAAAACTTTTTTAGAAAAAAAATTGCTATTTTTCATGAAGTAGTTATAGATCTCTTGGAGCTTTTCTCATGAGACATCTTCTCTTGTGGAGATCAAAATCACTTCTGTCACATTTGTGGATCATTGCAATATATAATTTTGTGTGTGTTGTGCTATTTAAATGACTGATCGAAATCAATTACATGAAAGTATAAATTGTGCTTCAAGTAGATTAGAATAATAAGATAGGAGTTCCATTATTCAGGATGTATACTCAACCTGCTTCTTGATGTTTAATGGCTCAAATTCTCATAACCAAAGGCATTAGTATTATGTGTTGTAGCACTATCAACACTGCTGAACTGCAGCTCCTGGAGTCAGAAATCCTATACATTAAAAAGAAACCAACAGATGGCATTTTATAAGCCTCATGCTTCATTGTCCTATAAATAGAGGTTATCAAATGCATAATGAACATCCAGCAAGAATAATATTCCTTCTCTTTTAACTACTTTATTAATCATAAGAAAGCAACTAATACCCTTTTTGCCTCTTGCTGGTAGTTCTCTATGCAATATATCTGATGTTGCTATCATTAGACTGTGCTCATCTGTGAGTTAACATTTCAAGTGGGGCAGAGAGAACACAAGTAGCACCCACGTTTTTTTTTGGTCTTCTGCTATTCATGTTCCTGTAATGTGCATATACTGGTATTATGATGACATTGTCATTTTCATTAAGGATGGATTTCAAATGTTAAGAACCAGGATTTTCTTTTGCTAAAGGGAGGGTGGTAACTGGCAATTAGGTATAGCACAAACCTTAGTTGAAATGAAGTGAAAGAAATTGCTTTTAAAATAATAATAATGCCAGGTAGACAGAGATTGCTTATGGATAGTGTAACCAGTTTTACAGGAGAAATGTCAAAAGATGGTTATGGGAGCATTTGGAATGTAAAAAAAAAATCAATCTGAAAGGGTGTTACATAAAAACTGTGCCTTCTATCATGATGGTGCCTTAAGACTATTATCCTGTATACTGTGATTATGAGGTTCTTTCTGTGGTAAAATCACTCTACCTTCTCTCATATAACTCCCTTAATGTTATTTATTGTCTTTTGTAAAAGGAAAGCAATGTGCTGCTTTTAGTAATGTAAGAAGTAATGAACTAAACCATCTTGTTAAAAGAAAATAGATCAGCAAATCAAAAATGTGCTTTAGAGCAGAAAAGGTATTACACAGGAAAAAACCCTCTTTATTTCATACATCTCCTTCCAGTGCACATTCAGAGCCCTTCCAGCTTATTTAAGGCCTGTTGGTTCTACATCTATGAAGAGGTTTTGGTTTTGCATCAGCAGTTCCTTGTGATTCCTTGGCAAAGGTTAATCTCTCCCCAGATTACAGGTCATCTGAGACTTCCTCAGCTCTCAAGAAGAGACTTGCTTCTTACCAGCATTTATTCTGGGGTTGATATGTACACATAGAGAGCCATCCTTATTTTGAATATTTCTTTATTTTATTCTAGAAAATATATGGTTTTTTGTGAGGAAATTTCTTGCAAACATAAAACCATGCAATTACTTTTCTTTCAATTAATTGTTTTGTGGTTTTTGTCAGCAGATGATGTCATGAAAGGAACAAAACTGCCTCTTTGTCTCGATGAGGAGTGAGACCAGTAGCCTGATAATAGTTTTATTAATGACTGTTCATCTGTTAGTCAAAAGGCATCAAGAATGGCCACAGAGCTGTGATTTGGACCTGTGGCCATGAATGGCTTTTTAAGGGTGGAACGTGAACTTACACTGCAGTTTTTTTGGTGCAGGCACTCTGCTGCCCTGAGAGCTGAGTTGGCTCCTCCAGGTCCCTCCTTTGAGCCAGCTGTGCTGTGGCTGTGGAGGACTGTGTAAATCCAAGCAGGGCCCTGGGGCTGGAAAGGGAGTCCAAAGCCTGGGCTACCCCCGGGATGAGCCCACGCAATCAGTTCTTGTGCAGCCAACCAGTTTGCTGCCCTTGTCTATGAGTGTGAGCATTAAATCATAAACAAAGGATTGATTTTGATATTCCTGGTGTCTTTTTAGAACAAGGAAATAAAGCTGGATTCTGTTCCAACTTATATACCCTTATCAAAGTACTAGAGGCAGCCATACTTTTTGCAAGGATGTTTTTGATAAATTTTATACTGGTGGGGAAAATGAAAAAACACTGGCAAGGTGAAAATCTAAGCTACTTAGACTGAAGTCAGACCCATTCTTGGCCATTTGGCTTTGTTTCCTCACCTGTGCTTTATTGTCTCTTGAAATTTGAAACAGCATCCTGAGCTGCTGCTTGCCAGGATAGTTTGTGAACTGCAGAGAAGTTAGTGCTGCCTTGTGCTGAAACGGAGTTCACTCTCCCTTTAAACCCTCCTTCTCTAGCATTAATCCAAAGCAATTAATTCTTTTTCCTGTTAGCTAGAAAGCTTTTTCTTCTTCCCAACTGATTTGGTTATCAGTAACTCTATTAATTTAGTGATCTGATTCTTTGAACCTATTGCTTTAATTGTAACTGTTCATTCAATTTTTTTCATTGCATTATTCCATCTTTAATTTAGTAAAACTGTACAGTCAATAAGGTTAGAACAACTATAGTTATTTAAATGTTTTTTTCTTGTTCAGCCTTGAAATCAAATCCATAATTGCACAGTTCAGGTTTATAGCACTACATTGCAGCAAGATGAGCTCAAGGTTAGAGAAACCAACAGATGAGAAATTTGCTTGCATCTTGTTTTTGTTTCGCCACCAGTGTTCAAGAGTCCCTTTTACACTCTGTCAGTATTCTGAATTTGTTTCTCCTCTATAAGCAATATAAAGTCTGATTGTGTGCTAATGGAAAATCGTTTGAGCTGCTGTGTTGCCACCTTCATCAACAGAAGGGTGTTTTCATCCTGTGCACACAAATTCAAATGATTCACTCCTAACTGCACAGAGTGAGAACTTCCGTTCCAGCATTAAGAAGTCTAAGTAGAAGAAATCATTCACTCTTCTTTTAAAATGTATCCTCTGAGGCCGTATTAGTTAAAGCACAATCAAATACAGAGACCAAGTCTGATGGAATTGAACAGGCTGCTGCCACCAGGGGACAGAGGTGCTGCCAACCTGTGCCTGTGTACCTGGTTAGCCGGGGCATGCAGGAACCACTCTCTTAAGCTCAGTAGGGAACAGGGTGAGTTCCAGTTTCTGCCTACCTAACATGGTTAGACAAATCCAGGGGTCGTTCTCCATCTAGTGGCAGTTGGCCCTGTGGTTGGCCTACAGAGCCAGGGTCTGGAGCCTGGAAACTTCTGAACTTGTGGTTTTTGTTAGTAGCAATCTAGAGAAATATGAGTGCGTGATTGGTGACTGTGACTTGGAAGGACCTGAGAGATTCTGATCACTGCTCCTGTGGTTTTGTAATCAGGCAATGATATGGCTGGGTGGGCAAAAAGAAAAGGAATGATGTTGCTCATGGAGGGCTTTGGCTTCTGGGGCCAGAAATGCTTCTGCTGAAAACAACACTGAGCCGAGATTATATCACAAAATTCATCTCAGATTATGACACAAAATCCATGCATCGGTATCAACTTTCATTTTGAACAGAGAAAAGGAAAATTCTACATTATTAACATATATCAGGCATTGCAAAAATTTTGTTGAATTGAGTGTCTTGAGCATGTTGGACTGAAAAGAAAAACATGAGTAGGAAAAGATATCTTTTGAGTCAAGTATTGCACCTAGCAATTACATGTGCTTGTCAGGTTAGGAAAACAGAGTTATGAAGTTTGTATTCTTAAATGGAGGAGAGGATAGATAACTGTGAATGGATAAAGTGCATAAAGAAGCAGGGTTTTTCAAGGATATGTCTTGTTATAATTGTTCCTTTCTTTAATAGCTCTTCATTGTGGAATTAGAGGGAGGTAAAGTTCACTAAGTGGTGTCTGTAATGTATTTATTAAGAGACTTCTTTTATGTGTGTAAGGCAAAGGTGATCAGTAGCTAGTTTGCAGCTAGTCCAAACTTTCTAAGGAAATGAAAATAGGTGCCAAGAGTGGCAGGGGTAGAGGAGTGATCGAAGCAAAACTGTCCAGCTGCTCTCCATAGTGTAGCAGTGCTGAGAGCAGCTGCATTCTGCTGGGTGGGGTAAGGACCCTTGGCAGTGAAACAAGGAACCTGTGCAGAAGTGACAATTTTACTGTGGTGATGCCAGGCCATTCTGGTTTTCTTCTCTTGTTGCATGGAAATTTTGATTTTGGCTAATGCTGGGCGGGTGCTGGGGATGGAAGTAATTCTATTGTATGGACTGTCCTAAATCAAAAGCAAAAGATTTTTGGGGTTCATGAGGACTATTGCATTTGCTGCTGATTCTCCTGAGCCCTTTTCTGTAAGTCTGGTTAATTCAGTTGGCACAGAAGGTTGTAGAGCAGTTTGGCTTTTATTAATTTATTTTGACTGGTTTGCACTTAATTAAGGGACATCCATAAATGCAAGCTGGAAAGAGAGGTTTTGAGTAAACAATAGGATGGCAAGTACTGCTATGCCACCTGTTTCTCCTAAATTATGTGAACTATGTGAAATCATTGAATAATGGATGCATCTTCACTTAGTATTTCTACTGGATTTCTTTAGATCCTTACTGTAAATCTGCTGCTTGAGAGGGAAACCTATATCTTAAATAAGCCCAAGCAGGTGGTGAGGTCAAAGATTTCTGATCAAAACAGGGAGAAGGATAAAATATAATTTATCCATAATGGTAAGTCCATCAAAAGGTTAAATGGCTAGCAAAAATTTTGAGATAGTGTTCCAAACAAGGCTCAGAAACAGAATCTTGCTTTATTGTAACACATGACACAAAGATCACTCTGGAGCTGTGATTTTTGTATTTCGGTGCTTGTAAGTCCCGAGTGAAACAAGGAGCTTTGTGGTATGAAGAGGAAAGATGGATGACTCTTGTGTTTTCACCATGTACTGTGTGAGGAAAAGGATGTTTAGCTACTTGGGCAACAGGTTTTGTAGAGATCTGCAGGTAGACCAGCACAGGTGGTGGCATTGATGCACTTCCCAGTATTCCTGCAGGAGAAAGGCAGAAGTGGAAAAGTATGGTCCTTGTGCATTGTTATGAACAACCCACTTTGCAAACTGTGATTAAGCTGGCAAAACAGCAAGATAGATAGGAGGTTTTTAACAACTTGGGTAAACAAAAGCACAATCTGCAAAGAAATTTTGGAGAGGTATTTTAAAGGTTATGTTTGGAATAGGGCAGGAACTACCCCATGGAAACTGGTCAAGCAATGATATGGTCTTGATAAATCTGGAGGGCTGCTTGAGAGCCTGAAAACTCTGTAATGATTGCATACCCTCAAGTATGTAATTTAAAATGTAGGTGTAAGGATATATTTTGGGTTTGAAGTTGGTTCTTTTCTTTTTCCTTTCCCCCCCCACCCTGCATAATTTATTTAATGTTAAGTGTTCTTCCAAGAGCATTTTGCTTACATGCTTGTGGACTATTGCATGACTCAGAGTAGTACATGAAGAATCTTTCTATATTTCCAGGGAACAGAAATCCCTACCTTACTATGCTCTGAAAGGTCAAATTCAATTTAATAAGTTTATCTCTCTGGAAAACAGGCATCTTTTTTTTAGCTAGTGAAGAGAAAAAAGGAAATTTTATATTTTGAAAACAATAATCTAAAGCATATTATAGTGTGTAAGTGTGAAGTACTAAAAGCTTCTACTACCGATACCATACTGGTGTAAATCCTCAGCACATGTTGAAGCCAGTAACATTATTTGTACTTCTATTATATAGTCTCTGTAAAAAAAGGAGAGCTGCTGGGAAATGCAATTCAAATTGGGTCTTAAAGTGCTTATCTAAGGGCGGTATCCTGCCAGCATTTTAAAAATAAGAGTTGTAATCAATGCCATTGCTTAAGAATCAATGTTGCCTGGTCTAGTCATGTGTGATAATACAGCACTGCAGCAAACAAAGCTATTTCCACTGCAGACTTGCATTCAGCTGGGTAGCATGTAGCTGTAGTAAAATATATTGCTGTATAGTGCAGCACAGTTTGAACTGGGAGCAAGGTAAAAGCGTATTTAGTGATATTATGAAGACATTGAGAACATGGGAACTTCAGAAATTGTTGGGCAATAAGGTTTCATTAGGGTGCAGTGATAGGGACTGTAATTCATGCAGTGCTGGATGCTTAAAGTGGTGCCTGTTTTTTATCCTCTCTGCCCTTTTCATAAACCCTTTACTGCAATATCTCCAAGTTTTCAGAAGACTGGAAAAAATGTTTGGGCTTTTTTATAGTCTTTCTCAGAACTGTTGAGTTAAGTAAACGGAGTAATAGCTTTAAGTTCACTTTGAATAAGAATCAGTAAAGAGAGGTCATTGTTTCCAGTGTTGTCAAGTGTTGGGTACTGGCAAACCAAAGTGTTCTGGACCTCTTCAACTAATCTGTACTTCTTCTGAAGCTTAAAGTTCTACACTGTGGTGATAACACCCCAATGGTTCTACGTGGAATGCTGCAAAGTCAGGTGGTCCTGGGCTGCCTATTTCCACTGGCCACACTATAGAGTCCTGCAAACAGATCTGTGATACACCTAGGTTTTCAGCCGAGGCTGTGTGAATGGCAAGGGAGAGGTGTTGAAGGGAGGAGGCGCCAATAAGATGTAGCTTATGTGACTCAAACCATTGCAAGGGTTGTGAATGCCTGGGTGTGCTCATAGAAATAGTTTCTTTTCCAGGAGCAGCATAAAATGTCAACAGAAAATCAACCTGATATAAACAAACTTCTTGACATGGGAAACCTGGGTTAGAAAGCTGTTCTTGCACACAAACACCTTCTACAGCCAAAAGTAGAAAGGAAGCAGTGTGCTTTTCGTTTTTTCTTTTCTTCTCTCCCTCCTTCTCACCAGGCCATATGGAAATATTTCAAGGTGTTTTTTACTTTTTTTTTCTTTCTCAAAAGAGGTGTATGTTCTTCTGCTGCTTCTTTTCCAACACCTAGTCATCAGGACACCCCTTTCTCATGTGGGAGACCTAGTTCAAGCGCTTACTCTAGCAGAATAGATTACTTGAATGTAACTTAGATGGGAGTATAATCAGCTTGTAGCTCTGGGTGGATTTGTCTCTAGAACTTTTCTTCTCCATTTCAATATAAGGTATTGTCCCTATTTCACGTAACCTTCCACACCATGGTTAAAAAAGTGAAAAGAAACCACTAGACATCTGAAGTCCTGTCATCTCAGGTCAGCAATGGAGCTTGGATACTGAAAATTTGCATCCAGACTCAGTTGAGTGGAATGGGTTAATCTCAAGTACCATAAAGAGCATTTTCTGTTTGAAATTATTTAAAATAAGACAATTTCCCCCCCTAATCTCTAGGATCTACAAATTTGAAGTTACTTAAAAGTACTTGTTTGACCTGCCAAAAATAAACCTATGTTTCCCCTATACCTCCTAGAGAAGTGGACAGCTGACTGAGTGCAGGAACTGAGGAAAGGAACTTGATGTTCTTGTTCACCCTTAAATTAAGAACTGAATACAATGTTCATGCAACAGTCCACTCAATTAGTCATGAAATGAATAGGTGAATCGGCAGTGGGAATGAAGCCCAGTGTTCATGGCTCCTCTGCTCCTGTGGCTGTGCTCTGCCTTTAAAGAAGTATCCTCTTCTTTGAGTAGGAAATTGAAGATATAACATGTCACTTTGCCCTACTCTTTGGCTTGATTTTTTTCTTTCCTCTAAGGGACAAAAATTACAACAAGCAAAGGCTTTGGTAAAATATTTTTTTAAGTCAAGCATACAACAAGAAGCTGTTTCTGAAAAAGAAAAATCTTCATTTCAACCCTTCCTGGAAACATGAGTATGAATTATGAACTCCATTACAGGGAGTCTTTTCCTGAAGAGCACACAGATCCTTTGGAAAATACATTCTGTGTGTGACTGCCATTAATGACAATGAAGTCACTGAGAATGTTAATTCTGCACCTCATTTCTACTAATGGTTGCAGAAACACACCAGGAAACAAACAAATAAACAAACCCCACCCCAAACAAAAAAAAACCCAAGCCACAAACTCCATGACACAGCATTGCAAGACAAAAGAGAGGCCTTACCTGCTGGTAGAAATGGTCCATTGTGAGACAGTCACTAAACATAATATGGTTTAGAATGGACTGCTGAGAAAGACCAGGGATTTTTTTCAGGTAAAATTACTTTTCCCTTAGAGTACTTTCCATTGTGAGGCTTTCAGGGGACTCTGCACGCACAAACTGCATCAGTATTTAGTGACGGCAAAGGATTGAATTAGTGCAGTTGAAAAGGTCCCTATTCTTTGCCTGAGATGTAGAAAGGGCAGCGTTCAAGTTTCTGGCTTGTAGCAAAATATTTCTGCTTACATCACTTCTCGGTGGAGGTTGCAGTGAAGCAGGAACAAACACGAGATCAGTTACTGGGTCTTGGCTGGAGGGCAGAACTTTTTAAATGTACATTTTCAGACTTTCCTGGTTCTCTGCTTCACCATGCAGCAGCATCTGCTTTGCTGGTTTTGTTACTGTCTAGATGGGTAAAGTGCAAAGTAGCAGGAATGTGACTTCTACAGAGTCTTCACACAGCTGAGGTGAACTGCAGGTTAAATTCTAGTGGCTTCCTTTTTCCTTTGTCTGGCATAACCACTCTGCAGCTTCAATTGGCTCTAACAAAACAAGGATGTATTTTTATGGTCAGGTGTTGGGAAGTTTTATAATGGTGGAAGTACTAGGATATGTATTCACAGTGAAGTACCTGCAAAACATAAGTGTCATTCTTGGCCTATTACTACCTGTGAGATTGGTCAGTATGTATTTATGGAGGCTGCACAAGAAATGACATCTGGGGCTTTTCCTGTTGTGATTTTCCCTTTGGGATGTGTCTGTCTCTTTGGGTTGCTGTGATGGCAGAGGACAGCTGTCCTAGCAATGTCTCATATCTGAAATAGGCAGCTCATTGAACAGCTCATGAGACTGGACTGTGTGTACTATGTGGATGGATCAGTGAGGTATGCAAGATGTTTTTGAATGGAGTTCCCCTGGAGATGGTTTTATATTGGAGAATCTTGTAAATTGTTTTTTTCCCTCAGATGAATGCCAGTGAAGTTAGTTTGGAGATTATATTGATATGACTACTATTAAATTAAGACTAATTAATGAACACTTTTACTTGGAGAGCCTGCATTCTTACACAACTGTACTGTAACAAAGGTGGCAGCCATACCTACCTTGCTTCCTTTTTATTTTAGAAAAAAAAGGAAGGATCTCTGCTCAGGAAAACAAACTTACAGAGTTTAGCCTTTTCCAGTTAGTGTGCAGTCGGTATAGTAACAAGGTGCTTCATTAGAAATGAAGGAGAAAGGTGTTTTCTTTTAACTATATACACTCCCATCCCTTACAAGTAATAACAAGAATTCTTCGGTCACTTGAGTGTTAGAGTTCTCGTGAAACACATATCGGTGATATTAAAATGTTGTGAATAAAGAAATTCCTTTTCTTCTGAATCAAAGTATTAACTAAATGCAAATGCCAAGATAGAGATTATTTTTACCAACATAAACATATGTTGGTATACAATACAATACATACAATTTGCCTTGCACTACATTAGGAGAGCATTTACGCAACTATAAAAATATGGGAGGCTGGAAAGGCCTATCAAGACCCTTGTCCATTGTAAAAAGATGCCCATTAAAGAAAAATAGGGTGTGAAAAGTCACAATTGAAAGAGAGAAGCAGGGAAGTATATAGGTGTCTTATAAAGATGCAACAGATATAGCAGTGATGAAATTAACCAAACATAAGTACAAATTAAATCACATCTAGGCTGTGTGTACTCTGCTGAATTAAATCAGGTAAAAAATAAGGAAATAACAGTGCTTTGCCTTCTTTATGGCATCTTAAAAGACATGGCAATCCAGATAAAATGTTGACTGTGGCAAAATTTCAGCCTGTAGACACACAACAAGTTAATCAAGAATGTTACCTGTCCTGCAAAGAACTCTATAATTCAGCAGCCACTTCTTGTAGACTCTAGTCCATTTACTCCTGCAAGATTATCATACTATGCTATCAACCATGAAGAGAGAAAAGGTGGTTTCAATAAGCTAAAGGAAGCTTCAATAAAGCAACTGCAACCTCGGGCTGTCACCACAGGAGAATGACAAAATGCATTTTTTAACATAAGCATCCACAGACTTTGGAATTAAGTTAAGCTTGAGGTTTTGCATTGCTGTTTTTGAAGAGAAGCACAGCTGTTGAATGGCATTTTAGGGTAAGAAATGTTACTTTTTTGTGGGTGTGTTAACAGTAGAGGTCTTGGCTATTGGGGAAGGAAGGGAGATGGTTACCGTGTGTATTAGGATATTTTTTGGGTTTTTTGTTTTTATTCTTCCAACTCCATAGACTGAGCAGCTAAAAACTGGAAGTATAAGTGGCATATTTGCACCTGTTTAACTGATACAGAGGAGCAGTTCCATTTGCTTTCAGAAGGAAAAAATCATTGCTACATGTACACAGATAGATATATACAAGATTTTATGTGGGGAAGCCTAAGTTTAGCTATAGTAAATGGGTGAAACTTGGGAGAAGACTTAAAAAATGATGAATCTTAAAGCCCTCCATTTTTTTCTGAAAACAGGCTACGATAAAAGTCTCAATGTTATGATCTTGCAGAGCTCCTGCTTATGAAGCAATTCTGTAACTGTGAGGTGCTTTCCAGATCCAGGCATATCCTGCAGCCATGGTTCTGATGTCTTTCAAAATGTGCCTCTTTCTTGTTATGGCAGCATAGAGGGACAGAGCCCTGGGCACAAGGCTCTGAGTGTGGCACTGCACAAACCTTTCAGTTCACCTCTCTAGGATGTTCTAAATTTCTAACTGAAATGCAGTTTTTGGAGAATTACTCCAGCTGTCCTCTTGTCGTAGCAAAACCCATTTGGTACAGGTTTGATATTATGTTCATTCAGACAACAGAAATGAGCACAGCAATAACTTGGGATAGGTCAGCTCAAAATCACCACAGTGGTTTGCAAAGGTGGTAAGAGCTGTCTGAGACGTGCACAGAATCACATCTGTTGCCAGAGAGTAGAACTGCAACTACATGGCTGTCACTTGAGTTGGGTTTATACCTCACATTTTGCTGTTGAGATGCCATTCTTCTGTGGGCACTGTAAATCCAGTGGCACCTTGTGGAATACAAGTGGCACCTACAAAATAATGATGGAATATCACAGCAGCTTGGACCACTCTTAATATGCAGAATATTGGCAAAGGGATTGGCCTTTTAGTGCTGATTGCTGCATCTAAACAATGTAGACAGTGCAAAGTGTTAGCGCTCCCTCAGTTGCAAATGAGGAATGGCAGGGTTGAAAGGAGTGCTCTCATTTGTACTGGGCTTAGAAACGTAGCATTGATAGCTCGTTTGGAGGGAGGGAAAATCATAGGAGAAGTAATTGTTACAAAAAACATAATCCAAGCCAGAGTTGTTGGGATCTTTTTTGTTTAGAAAAAAAAAAGGGAGAGGAGAAAGGAAGAAAAATGCAGAAATTGTGAAAGAAAAGGTAATGCAACCTGAATTAAAACCAGACGCAATAAAGTTTTCATGTGGCAACTTTTCATCTTGCAGAGATGCTACTGAAGTTGCAATTCTCTTTGCTGTGGTGGATCCATTTAGGTCTTACTGGACTTTGCATGTTACATATCAGATTTTACAGTATTTGAGATTTATTCTGTGCATTTTTCTGGTTTGTTTTTGTTTTTTGACTGTGTCCTTCTGTCTGTTTTTGGGGCCTATTTCATTTGGTCTGTTTTATTGTATTCTGGTGTCTTGTCTTTTCCCCTCTCCCTCTCTTGGCTGGGACTGGATTCTTTTCTGCACTCAGAGCATTTGCTCTTGAATTTCACAGGAAATTCTGTAACTTGTCCAATTCATTTGGTTTAGAGTTTTAATATTTTATATTACTACTTTTCTATTACTAAAATAGTATCTAGAGGCATCCTAGCTGAGGTCAAGACCTCTCTGTACAAACTAAAGTAGGAGGCGAGCCTGCTCCCAAGTGCTTGGAATACAGCTGACTGGTGTTTGGGTGCCTGCATAAATTGTGGGATTAATAGCTGCATATTTCTATAGGTTTTAGGCTGGGATGCCAAAGCACTTCTCAAACAGAAATAAATTTAGCCTCCTTTCCTCTATGAAAGTCAGAGACTTGGTTCTGCAGTAACACTTTCCCCCTCTCTAATTCCCACACATGTACTTGTTACTGACATATATATGACTCTGGTCAATATAGGTGCTTAACTTTTTAAAGAGCCTGTGTAAGTCACTAAGTGCATATTGATTTGAAGCAAATGTAAATTAGAATTAATTTTGACTTGCTAACGTAGTCAAATAAGGAACATTTCTATTGATCTCTGTCCCAGAAGCCAATTATCTGGATTAAGTGTTTTTATTACGTGAAATGCAGAGTATAGTATATATCATTCTGCATTGATCAGTGTGAAATTGCATATTTAAGACAAGGACTGTAAGTAAGAGTAGTTAACAAGTGATTTATTTTTAAAAAGCATATATTGTTTTATTTACCCCCTGCTCTTCCCTGTTCAAATGCTGTGCTTGTAACTACCGCTGAATAGGAGGCTGTTGATGCATGTGGATCAACAGGGATTCTTGTTCATATCATTTCCATTGCAGCTTCCTTCCCTTTCACTCTGCTCCATCTATACTGTGTGTTCCCTCTCCCTTCTGCCTTCCCAGCCCCCTTATCTACATTTCCTACTCCTTGGTGTTGATCAGTTCTTTCCGTACTGTGCTCTGCATGAAAAAAATGCTTTCTACATTGCATAAATACATTGCAGCGATCGCTCCTGCAAGCAAGCACTGCTCAGCATCAGGAGCATTTACTAGCGCACTTACAGGTGATGGTTATAAAAAGTGTGCTGAATACACATGCCAGGGATGCTGTAGGCAGTGCCAGGGGTACGAGCGCCTCCGGCCCCTTTGCGGCCACTCTGCCGGGGCTCCGCAGGCGGCGGGGGCCGCTTCTTCCCCGCCGAGCCCCGGCTCGCCGGTGCCATCTCGGGAGCAGGATGCGGCCACGGCGCGCTGTCACCAGGCTTGCGCTTGCAAGACGGCGACCTCCAGGAATCGCTCTTCCTCCCGTTATCCAAAGACTGACATTATCTGTATGTATCGCTATAGCGGTCCGTGCCTCAGCCCCGCAGCAACTTAATAATCTTGGTAACATTCTGCTCTCAACTCATTTGCTTGGCAGTAGTTTTAATTACGTTTCGGGCTCCTGAATGAATTTGTTTTCTCTGGATCCTCGGTGTATTGAGACGCTTGTCACGTTTGGGTGACTGCAATCACTGATGCGTTTGTTTTAGGGGATGAATTAGTCTTCTGAGCCTGAGCATGTCCAATTTATGAATTAGATTTCATTGAAAGCTAGAACAAAACAAAACAAGAAAACGTTCTGCTGTACCACTTTTCTTCCCCACCACCTCTTCCCCTGCGCGGGGATAAAACCCTCACATTTCCATTTCTCTCCTCAAACACGGATCATGTCCCGAGCTCGAGCGTGTGGAAGGAGGAAGGGGCATTCCCTCCACCTCCCGCTTCGGCGCGTTGCCCCCGCGCCACCCGCCGCCGCTGAAGTTAGAGGAGCCGGCAGCGGGCGCAGCCCCGCGCCCTTACCTGCGGGGGCGTCCCGCGGTGCCGGGCCGGCCGGGAGCTGCGGGAGGCCACGCAGCGCTGGGCACTCTCCGAGCAGCGGCTGCGGCCCCGCGGAACAGCCTGCGCCCGGCAACCGGGAGCTGCCCACCCGCCTCGCATCCCTGCGCTCGGAGCATCCTTCCCCTACCCCTCTCCTCGGGGCGGCATACATTACACATAAAGATACATAGATATATAGATTCTGGCAGTATGTGAATCTGTTCCATCGCGGGCAGCGGCCCGAGCGCCCCGCCGCCCGCCCGCCGCGCCGTGCCCCGGCGGCACCGAGCGCCGAGGCTCCGCAGTCACGTGGCGCGGGGGGCGGGCGGCGGCGGCGGGGGGGCCGCTCCGCAGTTCGCGGTCTGCCGGCGCCCCGGCACACACCGAGCGCTGGAGGCTCCGCCGCGCCGCCTGCCAACCCGGGATCTACCTCCGGGATTTTCTAGCCCCGGCTTTATTTTTTGGTTTTTTTTTTTTTTTTTTTTTTTTCTTCCCCATCACCCGTTTTCCTCAATCTTGGATAATTCTTGGGGTGCTGGGTATTTTGGGATTTTTTTTCTAAGAGGGGGGTGTCTGGGCATCTCCCCCCCGCGCCCGCTGCCTTGCTCCACCTGCCCTTGCGCCTTTTTTTTCTTTCCCCCTGTCTCTCCACCAAACCCGGGCTGATGTGCTGTGCGAGAGGCTGGAAATGGAAGTGTTGATGCTCTGGCTTTTCCCCTGGATATTTCAGTGCGTTTTGGTACGGGCGGACTCCATCATCCACATTGGTAAGAGAGGGAGCGGGGTGGTGGGGGGGGCGGGAGTGTTGAAGAGGGACGCGGTAGATAATAAATATATAAGGGAAGCGTCTCTTTTAGCCGCGATAATGTCAGGGGCAGCGGTGGAACCCAACTCCGCGGAGAGACAGGAGGACAGATGGGAGGAAGGCAGCTGTATTCTGCCCCTGGTTGTAAAGTTAGGGCCGAAATGCCGCCTGTGCGCCGGGCAAGGGAGCCGCCGCTGCGGTCTCCCATGTGGCTGGGGAGTCTGTGCTTGGACCTGTTTGCGTGGAAAGGCTTTCTTCCCCCCCACCCCCCGCCTCCTCGCCACCAAAAACAAACAACCGCCCCCATCACCCGAGCAGGAGAGAGGCATAATCTGAACGTGCTCGCAGGGAAAACTTTCGGGGAGATAATCCCCTGGTTTCCATCCCCTGCCGTAGCAGGTGTCAGCCAAGCCGGAATGCGCGGGGCGGAGGGGGGAATTTGGCTGGGAAAGGGTTAGAAATGAGAGCTTTGCAGCGGCTCTGTGTGTGTGCGTGTGTGTGTCTATGCGCGCAACTGTTGTGGTTTGAATAAGATCTCATTAAAACCCCTGGGCAGCAAGAAGGCTGGATCAGTGGGAGGAAGAGAGGGATGAATAAGAGGCAAAGGAAAGGCTGATGTGAACTTTTATGGCTTCTGGGAGCAAGGCACGGTGATGTCCGCGGGAAGCCTGGCAAGAAAAAGCGAGGCTCTGCAGTCACCTTTTGGCTGGTGTTGAAAGGTACCAGCAGGAACGAAAATGAGGATGTTTAGGGGCGGAGAGGGGGGAGAGAATCACTTGTGGAGGATGATAAAAGAGGAAACGGGAGTACGTCCGGGAAATGAAAAGCCGTAATTCACACCAGCCTTTCGGGGAGGATGGGAGATCAGAAAAAGGAGGGGGCCGGCGTAGGAGCCATCCTGGCGAAGGGAGGCTCCACGGATACGGGAAGAAAGTCCCGTGTCGACCCGAGGCAGGGAAGGGGAGAAAGGGACCAACCCTATAACAAGTTTCCCGGTACGGACAGCTCCGGGGCCGTGGGAAGGAGGCTCCGGCCGTCGCCGCTCGCCTCCGGAGCCTGGGGGCGCAGCCAAGGCAGACAGCATTGCGGAGCCATTAAGGAGACGGGGTCAGCCCTGACCGCAGCGGGGGACTCCGGCCCAGGGGCAGTCCCCAGGGCAGGGCAGACCCTCGCGGCGCCGGGGCCAGCCCCGCGGGGAGGAAGGGAGGCGGCGGGGCCGCCTTGGGGAAGGGCCGGGGTAGAAGAGTGGTGAAGGAGCTTCCGCGGGTCTCGCTCTCGGCCCCGCTTCTCTTGCGCGTGGACCGTGTCACCTCGGCTTCTCCCCGCACGAACTTCAGCCCGAGCGCTGTTTGCTAAGTGCTGGCAGAAAGAGCGGTCCGCTGGCCAGGAGCGGGGAGCTGCTGTGTGCAGAGCTGTGATGCACACGGGCACTGCACGGACGCTCAAGCCACAGGCACGCACGGTGTGAATCAGCAGGACTTTTCCAGGCTGGGGAATAGTGCTTTTTGCTTGTTTTGTTGCCAGCTCTAAAGATCTCCCAGCGCCGTGTAGAGCACGGCAGTAAGCCTGGCGTGGGCACACACACGCTCCGCGGAGAGGGATTTTATGTAACACATATCGCCAGATGTTTTCACGTTAACTGCATAAACAGGACAGTGAATTTTAAAGCTTCCAGGTTACTGGACACAAATCCCGGCTTCACGTTCGTGTGTGCCTCTAAGCCTCAATAAAACCGCGCCCCGAAAGGCAGCATCCCAGGGAGAGGCGAGCAGCGAGCAAAAAGTTGATGGAGTTTCCAAAGCTGCTCCCTTTCCCGTCACTGGCGAAGCAAGTCCATCACCCCGCCGTGCCTCTGGTTCAGGGCTCCGTAAGTGCGGGTGGAGCAAGAAGTGACCGGGAGGAACGCTGCGCTGCCCCGTGCCCGGGACCAGGCTGCCCACGGGCGTGGCCCGGCCCCACAGGCGCCCGTGCCCCCGGGGCTGCCCCACCGGTGCCGTGCGAACCGGCTTGACCCCTGCACGGCCCAGAGGGGAGCGGGGGTCCTGGCCGAGCCCTCCTCACCCTCTGCCGCCTTCCTCCCCTCAGGTGCCATTTTCGAAGGCAATGCTGCCAAGGACGACGAGGTGTTCAAGCAGGCGGTGTCGGATCTGAACCTCAATGACGACATCCTCCAGAGCGAGAAAATCACTTACTCCATCAAGCTCATAGAGGCCAACAACCCCTTCCATGCGGTGCAGGAAGGTGAGCGGCACCCACGGCACGGGGGGTTGGCTACGTGGAGGGGACGGGGCTGAGGGAGGATCGTCCCGTCCCATCGGCGGGGAACGGGCGCCGGTGACAGCCCGGACCTGTCCTGGCGCTCGGCTGGAAACTTTTCTTCGGTCGGGGGTTGGCGCTGTCTTACAAGGAAAGGGGAGGGACGGCGCGGTGCGGCGGCGGCGGCGCCGTGCCCAGCGCAGCGCAGCGCAGAGCTGCCCGGGCCGGGGCGCTGCGCTGGGACCGCCGGACAGGGCAGGGCTGCGGAGGGCATGGGGGCTCCACAGCGCTCCTGGCTCCGCCGGTGCGGAGGACAGGCCGGGCCACGCGTGGGGACAGGGCACGGGAAGGGTCCCGCCCGCAGAGGGAGGCGGTGGTGCGGCACCGAGGGCCGGGCAGAGGGGTGACTGTGGCCGGAGCGGCCGCGGAAGGTGCGGCACAAGCCGGTTCCTCTCCCCGAGCATCCGCGGAGGCAGGGCCGGGGCGGCAACGCGAGCGTGGAGTTCCCTCGGGGGGCCGGGCAGGGGGCGAGGGAGCCGGCTGAAAGCCTTCCAGAGTTTGCGAGATCTGAAAAGCAGCTACGTTGGTAAACCATTCCAATTAGATTTTTTTTTTTTTTTTTTTGAAAAAGGGAAACGTTTAAATTAATCAGCTTGCCTTTACAAATAAGACTTTAAAAAGATTATTTGTGATTTAATGAAGCGAAGGTTAATTATGGCCTAGGTTATTTAAGAGGCTGTGTTTTTCAGTAGTAATTATTCTAGAAACAGAAAGCTATTTATATACCCAGACTAGAATATTTAAAAAAATGATTCATCACCAGCCTTACCCTTAGTTTTACAGAGCACAGTGGATCTTTCCCGGTATGAAAATTTGCATTAATCCATATGTATTTATGTCTAAGTTGTGTACATGTAAATTAGGGCTACAAAATTATACCAAATGTTAATTTTCATGAACTCTGAACAATTTATTCTCCTCACTCTTTTCCTCAGAATAGGTGCTAGTTAATATTATCAGGAGAAACAGCAATATAGATATTTTCAAGGGCCTCATCCCATTGACAGTAAGATTGCTTCAGCTGCTCTGAAAACTTAGCAAGGTGATATGAAAAAAAATCTTTATGAAAATGGGAAGAAGGGGACTTGAAAACAAAACTCCACCCACATATTCAGACACCAGAGGAAACCAAAGATCTCTAAATACTGATGGGTTGATTTATTGGCAAAGAATAACTGAACAATTGGATCTTCTTACATTTGCAAAAACTCAGTGTCCTATATTGGAGCTTATTCATATTCATGGAAGTGACAGTAGTTGGCTGGCTGAACAATAGCTTTCTACAGTGTCTCTTCTCAGAAGTAAAACTGCATGAAACCATTTTGAATACCCAGTGAACTGAGCTGGCAGTCCGGTGGATGGGGTCCCTTTGCTTAATTTTGTTAAAAGCAGGAAAGCATGACCTAGTGGAGGATCCTTCTTGGTCTAGTAATACCTTTTTAAAATTGAGTTATTTGCTAAAATTGAAGATTGGGGTTGCATTTATGAAAACTACTATAAAAATTCTCTCTGTTGAATTTCTATGTTGAATCCACATAAAAGAGCTTGGTCAAATTTTCAGCCCTTTTGTTACAGGAGCTTTGTGCTACCTGAATATGTGTAAATAAAGATATTTTCTACTGTCCCTTCCAAAATGCTCTTTCAGAGCTCATTGATGTTCCTTCCTTTTTCACTGCCCATTGCAGTTTGAATTGCTCTTTGATGAACTGATACCATGCTGGAGAATTAAGGAAGTGGTTGATGATTATTCACAATTCCAAAAAGAACGTGTTCTCTATCGCTGCTTCATTAAGGCACATCTAGGTGTTTTCTTTTGGGAGGACTGTGGAATTATCCTTTCTGCAAATAAAAGCTTACCATAATGGGAGGCCTAAGAAAAGTGTCTGATTTTGCTCAATTTCCTGGCTTGCTTTGTTAGTTCAGGTCAGATTTCTTTTTTAATTTAAGATTTAGGTCAGATTTGTTTAGAATTTAAGATTTAATTTCCTACATTTGAAACTGTCATCCATGTGGACAGAATAATCTGTGGGGTGTACAAATTGCTGGTCTGTTCCTACTGACCAGTGTCTCATTGCCCAATGTTACTTGATCTGTTCCGACTATTCAAAATCTCATTGTATCTCACTGTATGGATGTCCTGCTCATTTTGGTAAAATACTGCATGTAGTAGTCAGAACAACCTCGAGCAAATCCACTGCCCAGACTGCTCACAGAATCTTGCTGCCACTACATAAAACACCCTGGCATCCACATTACTCTTCTGCAGCATCTTTCCAAGCAGTAGCATGGAAATCAATGTTGCAAGCCTTAGCTTCACAGGAATGGAACTTTTTTATGAGTGAAAACCAATTTGGAATAAAAAAAATAGACCATTGTCTATCACCACCAGAATAGTTCATGCAAGGAAACCAATCAAATACTGTTTTTATTTGAAGTGTCTTTTGCACAGTCTTGTAAGATGGCATTGTAAATTATCCTTAAGTCCTTTTAAAAGAGAGCTTCAAAGAGGGACCTTTATTTCAATGATACTGTGCTGGTAGAATTACAGAAAGTCATCATTCCACGTAACAATGTCTACTACACAATGATGAAACTTTAATTACTGACAGAGGTAGTTCTAGCATGTGTTTGTCTTGGCATTTACTGCGCAGTTAGAGAACATCTGCATGGGTAGGAAGCACAGAAGAGTAGACCAGCAGGATTTTCTTGGAGGAGCAATGCATTCACAGAACTAAAGGCCAAACAAAGATACCTTGCTTTTCATTCAGAGTAGTTTTCAGTGCTGGGATGTGCTGAGAAGTATTGCTAGATTTTGGGGGGAAAATAAAAAGAACTCTAGGGACTTCATATAGTGAGATAAGGGAGCTATAGTGATAGTCTCTGGTGACTGAAATAATTAAATAAAATTCAGAGATACTTTTTCTCCAAAGATTTGGTGGACACTCATGTTAATGGTTGTGACAGGTACCAGAGAACTGCAATTAACAAAAAGTATAAATTTTGTTTCCTTCTTTGTCTTTCATTTGTCTTTCATATTGCATAAACAAGATCCTGTTGTGCCAATAAGTAATGAGATTTTTTTGTCTCATCAAACTCATTCTATAACAAAGTGCAACAAATGGGTGCAAGGAACTCCGGTAGCAAGGGATGAAACAATAAAGAATGAACAGACCCTGGCACGTGCAAAAATAGGCCTGTTTTGTCTAGCCTTGCAAGCAGTCATTGTATTTGATATAATACTGTTTTTATGTATGTGGCAATTACTTGAAGGAGAAATTGTTTTCTCACTGACTGTTATGGGAGGAAATATACATGGGGAATCATTGTTCTTTTCATATGATTTAGAGAAATAAGCTCAAATCACAAACGTGAAGTTAAACTAGATTGTTGCTTCCCAAAGAGTTATGTGCTCAGTTTCAGTTAAGTGATTGCAGTGTGAGCTTGTTTTTGTGTGGTGTGTATTTAAACTAGTACTGTAGTAACCTTTTTGTGATTCAAGCATTCAAATAATCTCAAAGCTACTTTTTAAGCTTTCAGTTCAAATTGAGATTCCTGAGCCTGTCATTGGTGCTCAGAAGGAACTGCATGCAGGAGGTATGCGTGGCAAGCAGTTTTGTGCATGGGCTTGAAAATGTGATGGCATCTTTAAACAAAAAAAAAACAAATAAAACTGACCTGTAAGTTTTTAAAATGTTGCTTTCAAACGGGTCATAATTAGCTGTAGGTCAAAACTAGGACATGAGAAAGCTAATACTTGCTGTTTGTTGTGCCCTTAGGAGAAAGGATCCAAAGGAGCCTGTTACTCAGAAACTGCAAAACTTTAAACTCCTTTTTCTCAGTGGATGATGCTTACACATCAGTGAAGCTTTCCTGGAGCTGAAACTTGCTGTTCTCTCTGCATAGCAATTTCAAATGAATTGTTTCTAATTTGAGAGGCCTTGTATGTGTGCTTATTGATGTTAAAATGCTGTCAGTTCTGGAAACCAGAACAAATTTGGAAAATCAGAATGTTATTTGAGAGCAAGAATGTTGTTCCATAAATGGGTTTATTGTGAAGTCCCATACACACTGCTGTGGTTTCAGAGCAACTGGGGTGTCTGTGCTGTATACCATTGAGTGAATGTGATCTGTTATCATAGTCTGTAGCACTCGGTAATGAGATGTGCTTGACATAAAATAGAATAGACAGAATAGACTACTGGAAGTGACCTACAACAATATCTCGTCCAGCTGCCTGAATAATTCAGGGCTGACCAAAAGTTCAACCGTGTTGTTAAGAGCAATGTCCAAATGCCTCAACCATTGACAGACTTGTGGCATCAAGCACCTCTGTGGAAAGGCTGTTCCAGTGTCTGGCCACCCTTGCAGTAAGAAAATGCTTCCTCATGTCCAGTTTAAACCTCCTGTGGCACAGCTTTGAGCAATTCCCACACATCTCGCCAGTGGATCTCCGGGAGATAGATTAGCACATGCTCTTGATCTATCTTGTCTCAGCACATATATTTAATGTTACAACCACAATTTCTTTCTGCAGTTTTATTTGTTGAGAAGGTGTAAGCTGATCAAAAAAGATGAAATACAGATCTGGAGAACCAGACTCAGCAGCTCCATTGCTATTTTCATTTATTCATGCAATATTGCATGTACAAATTACTAGAGCTTTTTATTCTTCTTCTTCTTCTTAATTTTAAAATAAAAAAAAAAATTGTTAAAGAAAATAACCCCAAAAAACAAAACTTTATTGATTTGACTGCACTGGCTTGGGGAACTGGGTCCATAGATAGAACCTATATGCTGTACCTAGACTTTTTAAGTAAAGCATTAAAAAAAGTCTCATCCACCAAAATTGCAAAGGATTGGTTTATATCGATGTACTGTCAGTTTTTCTCTTGAATCTTTCACTGTCAAATAACTTTACCTTTATC